TGTATTCAGTTTTGAAAAAAATACTAAAATACCAATTTTTTTAAATTAAAGAAAAATTATTATTATTAAAAAAAATATTTTTATTTTTATTAAAAAAAAACTTTAATAAAAAATATATATTTTTTTATTTTGTTGTATTGTGCATTCCAATATGTTTTTTCTATTTTCATAAATATTCTAAATATGTATGTCAAAGCCTTTATATTTTTTCCAATTCGATACTTCAAAGTCAAAATAACAAACAAATATTTTTTTCTGTATTTTTATGAGGAGACAGGAAGAGGAATAATTTCAATACAAAATGAAAATATATTCAATTTTTGTTTGTTAATTTAAATGCTACATTGTTGGCGATTTCTAAAATGCAAAAAAAAAAATTGCTCCCAAACGTTATCTTTTGCTGGCGGCTAATGGCTGCTGCTATTGTAACACAAGGCGTCATCATGGCACCTCTCTAAGAATAATCAGAGCGCCATTTAAGTAATACACGAAAATAATCGTAGTTGTTGTTGTTGTGTTTCAACAACAAAAAACGACATACATTACTAGACAAAATAAAAATTAAAAAAGCAAAACACTAGACAAGGTGCAAATGGCGACGACTAGCCTGTGTGCCAGATTTTTTTTCTTTATTCATTGCTGTTGTTGTTATTTTATTCTTGGCACATTTTAAACTGAAAACAAAAACAGTAAAAAATAACATTCTAGGAAATCCTTTTCTAAGTTAATTTATTTGGTCTGTCTCAAACCGCTCCGCCACAATCATAAAAAAAGCTTAGCACCTTTATTTTCTTAATCTTTGGGAAGAAAAAGAAAATTCGGCTACGAAAAAAAATAGCAATAAAAAGGCGCCACCATCTTTAATATTTTTGCAAGAAAGCACACTAACGGCGGTAGCATTTGGAGAAATTATATATATAATATATTTTCTTCCATTAGCAATGTTTTTTGTGTATTATTTTTGTGGGCGTTATTAAAGTAATCATGTCGACTAGTCATGCAAAGTGGTGCTTGCTTGGCATGCAATAATGTTTTTTTTTGTTTTGTTTCATTTTTTATTTATTTAGGTGAAAATAATAAGAAGGCAAATAAAAATTGTTTTATAAATATATGACATTGTGAAGAATTTCGAATTTAAAAAATAAAAAAAAAAAATAAATTTTTAAAATTTAATTTTTCATAATTTCCATTAATTTTATTGAACATATTTATCACCAAAATTTGTCTTATTTTATGGATTTTGAAATTTTCTTCTAGCTGCATTTTGAGACTTGCTATAATTTTTTATAGCAGCTTTTATTATCTTCAAATTTGCAATTTTTTTAATTGCATCGTAAAAATAATGAACTCGTTAAAATTTTAGAGTATTTTTATCTAAAAATTATTTTTTTAATGAAAAAAAAAATACAAATTTAAATTCTATTACTTATAAAATTGACTTATATTTTGTTGGTAATTTTCTATCACCAAAATGTGTCTAACTTATTTATAAATATTCATAAATATGTTCTAGGTCAAATGGCTTTTGAAATTGTCTTCTAGCTGCATTTTGAGACTTGCTATAATTTTTTATAGCAACTTTTATTATCTTCGAATTGGCAATTTTTTTAATTGCATCGTAAAAATAATGAACTCGTTAACATTCTAGAGCATTTTTTTTAAATATAATTTTTTTAATAATAAAAAAAATCAATATAAATTTTATTTCTTATAAAATTGTCTTATATTTTGTTGGTAATTTTTTCATCACCAAAATGATTATTATTTATTTATAAATATTCATAAATATGTTCTAGGTCAAATGGCTTTTGAAATTGTCTTCTAGCTGCATTTTGAGACTTGCTATAATTTTTTATAGCATCTTTTATTTTCTTCGAAATGGCAATTTTTTTAATTGGATCGTAAAAATAATGAACTCATTAACATTTTACAGCATTTGTTTTCTAAAAAATATTTTTTGTAAATGAAAAAAAAAACAATAAAAATTTTATTTGTTATAAAATGGACTTTTATTTTGTTGGTAATTTTTTCATCGCCAAAATGTGTATTATTTATTTATAAATATTCATAAATATGTTCTAGGTCAAATGGCTTTTGGAATTTTCTTCTAGCTGCATTTTGAGACTTGCTATAATTTTTTATAGCAAGTTTAATTTGCTTCAAATTGTCAATTTTTTTAATTGAATCATAAAATTAACGAACTCATCATTTTAGAACATATATTTTTAATTTTATAATTTTTCTTAATAAAAAAAATAATATAATAAATAAATAAAATAAATAATTTAAATTTTATTTCTTATAACTTCAATTTTTTTTATTTTGTAGGATTTTTTCTTATCACCAAAATGAGTCTAATTTATTTATAAACATTTTCTAGGTCAAATGGCTTTTGAAAATTTCTTCTAACTGCATTTTGAGACTTGCTATAATTTTTTATAGCATCTTTTATTTTCTTCGAATTGGCAATTTTTTTAATTGAATCATAAAAATAATGGACCCATTAACATTTTAGAACCTGTATTTTAATTTTATTTATATTTTTTTAATACCAAAAAATATAAATAATTTAAATTTAATTTCTTATAACTTAATTTTTTTTTTATTTTGTAGGATTTTTTCTTATCACCAAAATGTGTCTAATTTATTTACAAATATTTTCTAGATCAAATGGCTCTTGAAATTTCCGTCTAGCTGCATTTTGAGACTTGCTATAATTTTTTTATAGCATCTTTTATTTTTTTCAAATTGGCAAAATTTTTAATTGAATCATAAAAATAATGATCTGATTAACATTTTAGAACATATATTATTAATTTTATTGATATTTTTTTAATAACAAAAATAAATAAATAAATAATTTAAATTTTATTTCTTATAACTTAATTTTTTTTTTATTTTGTAGGATTTTTTCTTATCACCAAAATGTGTCTAATTTATTTACAAATATTTTCTAGATCAAATGGCTCTTGAAATTTCCGTCTAGCTGCATTTTGAGACTTGCTATAATTTTTTATAGCAAGTTTTATTTGCTTCAAATTGGGAAATTTTTTAATTGATTCGTAAAAATAATGAAATCAGTAACATTTTAGAGCATCAGTTTTTTTTGTTTCCATGTGTTAGTTTTTTAATTATTAATATTTGTTTGTTTTTTGTTTTCAAAATCTCTATTAATTGTGTTTGTGTGGAAAAAACTTTTCCAACCTGGTTTTATTTATTAAATTTAATTTATTTAAATCTTTCCTAGTAATATGCCATTCGAAATTTCCGTCTAGCTGCATTTTGAGACTTGCTATAATTTTTTATAGCAAGTTTTATTTTCACAGAATATGCAAATTTTTGAATTGAATTGTAAAAAGTTTAAGCTTGATAATATTTTCAAGCATCGATTTCATTTTGGAAATGTAAAAGATTGAAGTTTTTAAAAAGTGAAAATTTATTTCAAATGAAATTTTTTTTTGCAAATTTTTTTTCTAAAAAAAATTATTTCTATTAATATAGAAATATTTTTTCAGAGAAAAATTTTGCAATTTTTTTTTTAAATTATTTTTAAATTTTTATAAAATAATTTTAAATTTTTTAATTTTTAAATTTTTATAATATCTTTATGAGAGTGGATATATTCCCAAAAAAAAAATTATTAATTTAGATAATTTGAATATTTTTTTATTGAATTCTGAATTCAAAAATATTAATATTAGTTGTATATATTTTTACAATTTTTTTATTTTAAAATCATGACTTAATGTTCTCGATTATGTTTTGCATTTCTTGGAAATTTAAATTTATGGGGGAGTTTTTTTTTTTTTTTTGAATAAAATATTTCATTATAATTTTTATAGTTTTTTTATGCGTATATTATTATTGAATGCTGACTTGGCCTGCTGATGCCTGCCTGCCTGCCAGCCATCCAGCCAACTTCTAGGTTGTTTGTTGGCATGAGTAATGTGCACACATACAACACACATAGTTTTTGTTTTGGATAAAAATCATAATTGTTGTTGTTTTTGGATTTTTAAGTTTTGTTTTTTTTTTCAAATAAAAGAAATATTGTTACGGTAGCATGAGATCATAATTTATATATTCTTTCTCTGTAAAAAAAAACTTAAAAATTCAAAATCTCGAAAAAACCCTATATATGGTCAAATAAAATAAAAAAAATAAATATGGCGCTGAAGATCAAAAAAATGAAATATTCTCAGAAGAGAATGCCTGGGGCACCTGTTGTTGTATTTTTTAAAAAATATATTTCTTTTTTGGTATTTCTAGGGAAGTGGTGGGCTAGGTCTTCCCAGCCCCCCTTTAAATATTTTGTCTATAATTGTTGTTGTGGTTATGTTTTGACAAATGCTGCCGAAGTTGTGGCAACCTTACAAACCAGTGTCTTCCAAATATTCACTGTGGCTAATTTATGTTTCGAATTTCATTATGAGCTAGTTTTCGCCTCTTCTTTTTCATCTACTAATTTCGATAATGGTTGTTGAATTTTTTAGGACCATAAAACGTCAGTCAGTGTGTCTACATCAATTTGACTTTTGTGTTTTTCTTCTTTGGCTCTATGTTGTACGTCACTAATGACCTCCAAACCATTAATGAAATTATTGATGAGAGTTAACTCACCTTTTTCGGGGCTTTGTTTCCCAGCTATGTTTTTTGTTATCGTTTTTCTATTTTATTTAAACTCCATTCACATTTTTTTATTTTCTATTTAAATATAATGTCTTTTGCATTTTTGTTTTTATTTTTCTTGACATGTTTTATTTTGCCAAATATCTGGCATATATTTATTTTTTGTTTCTTTGTGTCTTGCTCGGTACCCAGTTCAATACTCGAGTTTTATTATTTCTTTTGTTCACAAAGCAAAAAAAAAGTAATCATAAAAAAATTGTGTTGACTTTTGTTGTCAAAAAATGTATTTAAATAATAAACACACATTTCTTTATTTCATGATTTTCGAAATTTGTTTTTAATTCTCAATTTTATTTTTCTGTCAATTTCAGATTAACGGTCAACAGCAGCTCCCTCTAGCAACCACCTCAGCAACACAAACATCCAAAATGTTAGGATGTCTGGAGCAAATATCCATTGAGAAACAGCGATTAAATGGTGAGTAAAAAAAAAATAAAAACAACAACAAATAACTATAAAACAAAAAATAAATAAAAAATTATTAATTACAATAAATTATTAATTAAAAAATAAATAAAAAATTTTGAAAAAGAATTATAAAAACATTTAACAAAAAATTAAAAAATATTAAAAATAAATTTAAAAAAATTTAATTAAATTTGAAAAAATTGTAATTTAAAAAAAAATTTTTAAAAAAAAAAATTGTTTTAAATTTTAAATATTTTTTAAAAATTTTTTTTCATTTTTTTTAAAAATTTTTTTTACCTTTTTTGAAAAAAAAAATTTTTCAAAAATTTTATTTTTGTTTTGTTTTTTTAAAATAATTTTTTTTTTAAAAAGAAAAAAATTTTTTAAAAACAAAAATTTTAAAAAAAATTTTTTAAAAATTTTTAAAAAAAAAAAAAAAATAAAAAAAATTTAAAAAAATAAAAAAATTAAAAAAAAAAAAAAATTTAAAAATATATAAAAATTAAAAAAAAACTTAAAAAAAAGTAAAAAAAATTAAAAAAATTAAAAAAAATTAAAAAAGAATTAATAAAAAAATTTAAAAAAATGTAAACAAAATTAAAAAAAAATTTAAAAAAATATAAAAATTAAAAAAAAAAAATTAAAAAAATTTTTTTTTTTAAAAAAAAATTTTTTTAAAAAAAAAAAAAAAAAAAAAATAAAAAAAATAAAAAAATTTATAAAAAATTTGCAAAAAAACATTTCTTCAAAAAAAAAAAGAAAAAAAAAAAAAACAAAAAATTTAAAAAGAAAATTAAAAAAATTAAAAAATATATAAAAATTAAAAAAAAAACTTATAAAAATTTTAAATCTAAATCAAAATTCAAATTCAAAATTTTATAACATTTAAAAATAAAATGTTTTTTTTTTTCTCTTCCAGGGCATTCATCGCCCCTGACGGCAGCATTGGCCGCCCAACAACAACAGCAACAATCTTCAACACCACCCTCGTCATCACCTCAACGATTGTCGTCAACATCATCGACAACATCGTCTACGGCCAGTAGCAATACAACATGTTGTCGGCTACGTTATCAACAACAGCAACAACAACAAAAATCAAATGGTGTTAATATTGCTGCTGGTTGTGAATCCGCCAACACCACTACCACCATACCCTTAGCCTCATCACAAACATCCACATCATCGGGAATATCATCAGCCACAACAACATCGTCGTCATCATCCTGCTCTGCCTCTTCCTCCTCCTCCACAGCCAATCATAATTCAACAAATTTATATCCTTCAAAATCATCACCACCTGCCGCCAATAATGCCGCCGCCATTACACCGCCAAAGAAATCACCAAAAGATTTTATTTTTGGTAAATATATTGGTGAGGGCAGTTTCAGTACCGTTTATTTGGCCGTCGATGTCAATACGAAACGTGAATATGCAAGTAAGTAGAAAAAAACATATTTATTTCGTTTTTTTTTTAAATAAAAATGATAATGGGAATAAAAAATTTTTCAAGGAAGAGAAACATATTTTGAGTGAAAATTCCCCCTAAAAGGGATTTGTTTTAATTTTTTTAAAATTATATTTTCTGAAAAAAAATTTTAAGGTGAAAAAATGTTTTCAAAAAATTTTCACGGGAGAAAAAAATTGTGAAATTTTTTCCCGGTTGAAAACTGTGGTGAAAATAGAATTAAATTTCCGGACAATTTCTAAGGGAGAAAAAAAAATGATAATAATAATGGGAAAAATAAAATTGTCAAATTTTGACAAAATTTTCAAGGGAGAAAAATTTCACGTAAAAACATATCGCGAACATATAAAAATTAATTTTGTTATTTTTTTGAAAAATATATTAAATTTCCCGGAAAATTTTTAAGGGAGAAAAAATATCTCCTGAAACATTTCATGTTAAATTTTGAAAAAAAAAAATAATATTAAAAAATACGGGGAAGTATTTTCGCGTAAAAATAAAATTCCCTTAAAAATTTTTCAAAAAAAAAAAAAAAAAAATGGGAAAATGGAATTGTCAAATTTTAAAACATTTTCAAAAATATTTAAAAAAAAAAAATACGGTAAAAATTTTCCGCATGAAAATTTAATTTTCTTTTGAAATTTTCATGAAAAAACAAAAAAAAAAAAAAAAAATAGTTGTAAAATTTTGGATATATTTTTAAAGGAAACAAAATGTTGAAAAAATGTTCACAGGGAATTTTGTCACTCGGAAAATGTTTTCCCTTTAAAAAACCATTTATTTTTGTTTATAACTATATATGTGAAAATTGTACATTGAATAAAATGTTCACAGGCAATTTTTTTCACACGGGAAATGTTCACAGGGATTTTTTTCACTCGGGGATTTTTTTTTCCCAGTAAACAAATTATTTAGTTTTTGTTTTTTTAACTATATTGTATGTAAAAATATAACACGGGAGAAAACATGTTTACAGGGATTTTTTCACTCGAGGTATGTTCACAGGGAATTTTTTCACTCGGGGAATTTTTTCCCAGTAAACAAATGTTTTTTTTTTTCAAATTATATATTAATTGTATGTTAAAATATAACACGGGAGAAAAAATGTTCACAGGTATTTTTTCACTCGAGGAATGTTCACAGGGAATTTTTTTCACTCGGGGAATTTTTTCCCTGTAATCAAATTATTTATTTTTTACAACTATTTAATAATTGTATGTTTTTTTTAACATTAATTTTATGCTAAAATATAACATGGGAGAAAAAATGTTCACAGTTATATTTTCGCTCAATGAAATGTTCACAGGGAATTTTTTTCACTCGGGGAATTTTTCCCCGTAAACAAATTTGTTATTTTTTTGAAATTATATATTAATTGTATGTTAAAATATAACACGGGAGAAAAAAATGTTCACAGGGAATTTTTTCACTCGAGGAATGTTCACAGGGAATTTTTTCACTCGGGGAATTTTTTTGCCCTGTAAACAAATTATTTTATTTTTTTTTTTGAAAAAAAAAAATGTTCTCAGTTATTTTTTCACTTGAGGAATATTTGCAACTCAAATGATTATTATTTAAAAATTTGGAAAAATTTTCCAAAAAAAAAAAAAAATAAATAAAAAAAAAAATGGAATATATAAAAAAAAAAAAAAAAAAAAAAGGAAATTAAAAATTTTGGAAATTTTTCCTCGAAAAAAATTAATATAATGATTTTACAAGAAAAATCACTTTTTAATGATTTTGTTATTACTGTATATATTTTTTAAACATTTTGTTCTTTGCTTTTAATTAAAACCACATTTTGAGGTCTTCAACACGTGTGCTCCATTTTCCAATTTACAACCGAGATTTTTTGTCTTTACTTTTTCTCTACTCCAAAAATTTAGATATTAACACATTTTCTATTTCCCCCTTCATTATAACAACAAAAGCAACAAATCTATTTCTGTCACATGTTTACCTCGAAACAAAACCACAAAATAAAGTTAGTGTTTCTTTTTTCATTCTTCAATTTAATGACCATTTTTCCCACCAGGAAAATCCACAAGAAAAAAAAGAACTGCCCTGTTCACACGAAATACACACACACAACAACAACGGCCACACACACACACACCACATTCACTTTTATTTGAAATTAAAATAAAGAAAAAAAATTTCAAAATCCCAAAAGCGCACATTGTTTCAAAAGAAATACCGTTGAAATAGCTTTTAGAGCTCGCCCAAGAAAATGATGAGTTCCCTTCATGTCTGTCCAAACAGTCGTCAAACCCTAGACATGTATGAAACTAAACATTGTTGTTTTTTTTTAAGAGTCACTTAATGTTTCTTTTTTTTAATTTTTTTATGTCTAAAACTACTCGTTTTTGTTGCTGAGAGGGGAGGGGGGGTACCCCGCACTACATAAAAAAATTGAAATTGAACACACAGTTGAAGAATGTAAATTTATATATAAGTAAAAAACAAAAACAAAAACATTTTTATTGCTTACACGTGTAGCTCAATTTTCAGTGTTGCTGCTTTGGAAAAACAACAACAACACCGCCAACAAAAAACACGTTTATGTGTGAAATACGTAAAGAAAATTGTAATAAAAAATGAAAACAACTAAAGCAAAAGCTAAAGCCAAACAGCAATTGTTATTACCGCATAAGCAACAACAGCAGCGACAGTTGTTGTTGTTGCTCACCTTTTTATTTTACTCCATTCACTACAATAATATGGGCCTCTTTTAACCCCTTTCCCATCACACTGTTGAGAAAGACCTCCGGCCTGTCTCTGCCCTTCCCATAAATAGCTGAGTGTTGTTTGTTTTGAAACTGATAGTCTTGAAGTCTCTGACTGTCTGTCTGGCTGGCTAGTATAGCTGCCTTGCAATGTGACAGAAAGTGTATCTAGAACAATAACAACAACAACAACAGCAGCAGATTCTAGATTTTTCATAAATTAAGACTTGATTTTTGTTTTTCAATTCACACATATTAAATAGATTATTATTAGTATTATATTAAAAATGTTACAACTGTGGAAACAACAACAATCACCATATTGTAATTATCAATCAAAACAAACTGAAAAAAAACAAAAAAAACCAAAGTTTGTTTTTCTTTAAATTCTTGGAAGAAGAAAAAACAAAACAAAACATGTTGATTAGCACTTCTTATTAATTGACTTCATTTTTGATGTTGCTGTTGTTGTTGAAAAATTAACAAAACATTTTTGTTCCGTTTGTTGTTATCAAATCACAATTCGAAAAAAAATCCCCGCATTTTTGTTTTGTTTTTATTTGTGTCATATTTATATGAGGCCTCATCTTTAAAACCCTCACCTCTTGCTCTCTCCCTCTCCCCACACATAAACCACCACGAAATTGAAACACACACACACACACATATCACAAGTTATCAAATCACGCACAACACCTGACTAACTGACGCGGACTTGAAACTAATTTTTTTTTGTTTATCGTTTTTAAATACTTTGTTTTATTTACTGCTACTAATGTTGTTGTTGTCGTTGTGTGGCGGTGATTATCTTTTGATTTTGTACGTGATTTCTATACCAAAAAAAAAAAGAAAAAATATAAAAGTCTCATAATTTATCACCAACCTTAAAAACAATTTTAGTTTAACAAAAGTTTTCAAATCAGCTCACTTTTGTGAATTCAAATTTTTGAGGCAAATTTCGAAGTTACACCACAACAACAACAACAAAATTAATCGGCAATAATCATAACAAAAAACTGCTTAGAAGTTTGACGTCAATCACTCCTCATTTGGGTATTCCAATTGGAAATTCCCAATCAGCAAAACATTGTTTGGTGTGTGTGTGACGACAGCATAAAATATTTTGTTTTTTTATTGTTTTATATTTGTATAAATAAAAAATTATGAATTTTTTACGGATTTTGTGAAAGCAAAAAAAAAACCGGTCAAATAGTGAAGTTTGCATTGGGGCAAAATATTTTGAAATAAAAAAAAGTGTTCACTTTGAGCGCTTTGAAAAATTCGTACAATTCTTTGAAAATCGGCAATCACAATGAACCTTGGGGTTAAAAAAAAATGGTCAAATAGTGGAGTTTGCATTGGACCAAAATATTTTCAAATAAAAAAGTGTTCACTTTGAGCACTTTGAACAATTCGTACATTTTCAATTATTTGAAAATCGGCATTCGCAATGAACATAGGCGTTCAAAAACAAAAAAAAAAAAAAATAAAAAATAAAAAAAATACTGGTCAAATAGTGGAGTTTGTATTGGGTCAACAACATATTTTCAAACAAAAAAGTGTTCATGTTGAGCATTTTAAAGGTTGCACATTTTCAATTCTTTGAAAATCGGCGAACATATGGGTTCATTTTGTACAACGGTGTTCATTTTGAACTATGGTACTCATTATGTACTATGATTTTTTAATTCGACGTGTGGTGTCCATTTTTCTACTAGGGTGTTCATTGCACCGTGTGGTGTTCATTTTTCTATTTTGCGTTCATTTTAATCAAAGAGTTAATTTCAAAAATGTGTGTTTATTTTCAATATTAAATTTGATGGGAAATATTTTAAAGAAATTGTCTAAATTTTGAACCTAGGTGTTTCATTTCCACCATGGTGTTCATTTTGCACCATGGTGTTCATTTTAAACCATGGCGTTCATTTTACAACACGGTGTTCATTTTAAACCACGGTGTTCATTTTTAACCACGGTGTTCATTTGGAACCACTGTGTTCATTTTGCTTCACGGGGTTCCTTTTGAACCACGGTGTTCATTGTGCACCACCGTGTTCATTTTGCACCACTGTGCTCATTTTGCACCACTGTGCTCATTTTGCACCACTGTGCTCATTTTGCATCACGGTGCTCATTTTGCATCACGGTGCTCATTTTAAACCAGGCTGTTCATTTGGACCACCGTGTTCATTTTGCACCATGGTGTTCATTTTGTACCACCATGTTTATTTTGCACCACAGAGT